TGGATGACCAGCTGTCCCAATACCATCAGTGGAAAGGAAGATCTTTTCCTACTGAATTGTGTTTATACTTTTATCAAAAAAAAAAATCAACTGGCTATATTTGTGTAAATCTTATTACTGAACTTTTCTATCTTGTTCAATTGATCTCTGTATCTATATCTTTACTCTGGGTCTCTTTTGACTGAAAAGAAAAAAAGGACAAATTTGCCATGAGTCATGAGACTAGAGGGCAGAGCTGGGAAGGGGGACTGTCCCTTTGTTCCCAAGAACCAGCAATAATTAATTCCTTTAACCCGTTCTTTCCTTCCTAACTCAGCCAACTCAGAAACTGAGGTGAACAGTTCAACTGAGTTGCCAGTTAGCTTCAGGTATAACAAGCAAATAAAACCAATTGTCTGCTTCCTTAAATGGTTCTCTTTTTCTCACAATTCTTCTGGTGGTTAAAGCTTAAAAATAGACTGGCCTTGCATGATTCAGAGTAGCAGGAAGAGGAATGCACCCTGACTTCAGGAAAAATTTTCAGACGAACATACATTTTTTTTTTTTCAACCAAGCAGGAAGCTATGGAAATAGAAACACCTTTTAGTATTTGATTTGAAAATAATGTGTCAGTCCAGCCGTAACAGCAGTTTCATTACGACAACAACTGGTTTCTGTTAAAAATTTTTTTCCTGGGTTGCCTTCTGGCCTGAATTGATTGAACAAGGAAAATCCAGAATAACTGAGGTGCACAAGATATAAATGGATGGACACTTGGACAGATGGAAACAAATCTAGATATTCTCCCTCCCCGCAGCCCAAATTGGGATCATTCATTACATACTATTTTTGTAACGAAACCAGGTCATCTTTGCTGCATAGGAGTTGACAGTTTCCATCCTTTCTCATCCATCACAGGCTGTACAGTGATGGAACTGTTGCTGTTCAGTAAACATTTGTTTCTTCCTTTGGGCTGATGCTGGAGGGCTACCCCTCTTTCTGGATGTATTGGGCTAATGATTGCTGCTAAGAAATAATGTGCTTCTCTGTTGAAATGGCCAGATGGAGCTATGACTTTTACAAAGACATGTGGGGTTTTGGCTTCCAGGACCTGCATGACATGTTCTAATTATTGGGCCGTTTTTCAGCATGCCTGACAGCTTTAGGCCACAAATAGCGGCTTCCTTCAGGTGCAAGCATATTTTATTCTGTTGCTTTGCTCTTTCTGAGTGGACGTCAGCTTTTCCAAGAGACATTGGCCTATTCCCTTTCTACCTGTGTTAATTGTGTTCCCAGATGAACCAATGTAAGCCTACTCATCATTCATCTTTTATTTTTCCTTTTTAAAATAAATGCCTGTAGATAGGATGGGATTGGGCTGTTGAATGGACAAATTGGAGAGAGGACATCTTAGTTATTCATTGGTTCATGGATTCATTCATTCATCTTTTGAGCACCTGCTATATATCAAATACTGGTTCCAACAATGTAAATTTTTTTTTTCCTTCAAGAAGCTTGTGGTGAGATAAGTAATAGATACCATTAAGCCAGAAAAGTGTCGTGTGATAAGAGCTAGAGCAGAAGTTTAACGCTGGGTAGCTTAGGAACAGCATATGGAGATCCCTACTCAGCCTCCAGCATCAGACAAGGCCCCCAGAGAGACAAATCTTGCAGGATCATATTGGAGGAGTTGGCCCAATGAAGAGGGAAGGGAGGAGGGGAAGGTGTCCAAGCAGAGAGAATCTGCCTATGAGAACACACAGGGTCTCAGGGAAGACATTGGGACTCTCTCACCTGTTTTAGTAGGAATCTACAGTGTGGGCAGGAGGGGGTGGGATCTTGTGGTTAGTACAGTATTGTTTTAAAAAAGTAAAAGACAAAACTCTAGCGACTTAGGCGTAGATTCTTGAAACCCACCCCTTTCCATTGTTCTACCTGATCCTCATTTATATTTTATGACTGGTCTGGCCCATGTAAGCATTTGAATTTGGGATCCCCTACTTCTGAACCTAAACAAAGATGGAGATCAAACTCTTTCAGTTGTCATTTCTAGTGTGAGAGGAGAGAACATCAGGTTTTTGGTGGAACCGTGATGAATGACTCATTGAAAGACCTCACCCACCAAGTAAGACCAGAATTATTCACGTCCAGTAAAAGAAGTCTTTTTCTTCAGTGAATAAAATGGATTATGAAGACAATATTTGCTAAGGTCTGATCCTGTGCCAAGCTTTATGCTCAGTTCTGTTTTATCAGGCTTTCCTATAAAAGGAGATAGGAATTTAAGCTGTCATGGTTCCATGGCTGTAATTTAATCTATAACGTATAAAGTGATTTTATGCATCTCAAAATATTTTTTATTAGCATGGCACTTTAATGCAATCAAATAAATCTACAGTAGTATTTCCTGAGGGTCAACTGTGTGTTAGGTTCTGAGGTTTCACTGGGATACAGAATAGACACCGCCCCTGCCTCAAATTGTTCACTACTGTGGGTTTCCTCATAGCATGGATAATTATGATTAGCTCTCCTTTACTGAGCTGTTGGAGTTGAGTCACTCCAGGATTAAAGGAAATCCTTCAGGGAGTAAGTCAGAGTTTGGAACTCTGGAGAAGTTCAACACATTTACATATTTAAGACTCAAGCTGGGCATGTTGGTGCAAACCTGTAATCCCAGTTACCCAGGAGGCTAAGGCCCCAGGATGGAAAGTTTGAGACCAACCTGGAAAACATAGCGAGGCTGTCTCAGAACAAGTGAATAAAATGATTGATTTGGATCAAACATACTGTTCTTAGCGTGAAAATCTCAGCCCTTTTGCAGGTGAACAAGAGTATGCATGATCTTCCTAAGACCCTACATGTTGAAGGGTTGCGTTCAGTGTAACACTTTGAATCCCTCGTTAAACTGACTTTTAAAAACAAGTTGTTGGTCCACACAATAGAAACTGAGCCAAAGCCAATTTTCATTTTAATACTTGTGTTTCATGTGAATCATGAAACACAAGAATGTGTATTTCCTGAAGAAGGGGGAGAATCTGAATAAGCTTTAAATCCTCCTCAGTGGCCTAGTACAGTGCCTTAGGCATCCTGTTAAGCAAAAATTTTTGGTGATTCATCACTCAATTAGCCAGAGATCTATGTCTACCAAGAAACTTTGTCTTCACCAATGTGTCTAATAGGAACAGTCAGAGAGCCTGTTTGGGGGAGATGGTCCTGTGCTGTGGAACCTTTGCCTTTGAAGAGGAAAGCACTGCGGTGTGTTCATAAAACACCTTTGTTTCCTGGAAGTGCATCCTGTTGAAATGTTACCTGCCCTGAGCACATGGTTCTTGTTTCTTGCTCCTTGCTTCTCGAAGGCTCCTCCTGTGGCCCAGTTCTTTGTTTTCCCATCGTACACCTGGCCAGGTGACTTAGGGCAAGAGTTGGTTCCAGACATAATATTTTGATCAGCTGTGAAACTGGAGCAACCGAGATAGCAGAGCCACAGGTACAGAGATGGTGAACCTGCGTGCTTCTGACCCTGGGGTAGCCTGAGTTCATTAGGAAAGTCCCCACCAGAAGAAAGGGACTTCCAAGCTAATGATTCCAGTGAAAGCAGAAGTAAGATCAAAAACAGGAGCACAGGAGAGAAATGAGAAGACTTTGTTGAAGTTGAAAATGAGGCAGAGAGAGAATTCTGAAGGGCAGGTGGAGAGAGGGGAAGTCTCTTGTTCCATCTGGGAGACACTGATAGGACAGTTGGGCATGATAACCTGTATTTGTAAAGAAGCCAAGGGGGGAAAATGCTTGAATATTTGGGAGCATTTGATGTCAAAAGAAGGGGACTATGATTACACAGAGAAAAGAGGGCAGTTTTGAGGCAGGTAATGGAGGGTCATTGGAAAGACTGGAACTTTTTAAGTTTTATATCAGTCTGTGGATTCCTTGAAGGCGTCTGCAGAGGCCAGACTGAAAGCTGGGACTAGGGAGGTGGGTGGAGCACAGAGCAGCCCGGAGCTTGTGATGTGGCTTTCACCTGGGCAGAGTCTGGGAGGAAATGCAAATGTTGGGCCACAGAAACCCAGTGACTGAGCCTCTGGTCCACGTGGTTGCTGTGTCGTAGAGGCTGCACTCAGAGGTAGGTTTGGAAAGACGCTTGCCAGAGAGGTATTGCTCAGTAGGGAGCCGGGCTCCTCGCCATGCTGTCAGTCCTTCAGATGTTCTGATAGTAGGCTGGGATGTTTACCAGCTGTTCGGAGATCAAGCCATTGTGAAATTTTTCCTCCCTATAGTAAAACTAGCCCCAGCCAGTCAGACTGGGAACTTGCTGCCTGAGCTGTTTTTCCAACATGAATTTTACTGGCAAAACCAGACGTGAGTGTTTCCTTGACTTTCAGGGGGTCTGTTTACATGGACTTCAATTTTAATGGCAGTTTTCAAGAGGGAAGAGGGAAATTACATTGAAAGGTCAGCAGGGAGCCCAAGGATGGCTGCCCTGCCATTCCTCTGGGTGGGTGGTGTGTGTAAGCATGCCTCTCTCTGGGTGCCTGTGTGCGTACGTGTGCCTGTGTATGTAGGTGTGCCTCTGCGTGTGCATGCTTTTCTAGTGTCAACTGTTAAGCCCTGGTTACTTGGTTGTAGGCACAAGGATGAGTATGAGGCTGTTTGTTTGGCGATTTTTCTATTTGTTTATTGCAAAGAAGGTAAATGCACTGGCGGGATTTTCTGGATTGGAGAGCAAGGGATATTTACTGTCAACAAGGTAAGAAGAAGGAGATAGAAAGATACTGAACTTCAACAGGCATCCAGTGTCCGCACAAAAGCATAAAAAAGGAGGGAGAGGGCCAACCACAGGACTTTCTGTCTTGAATGGAACTTTGAAGAATCTGGGTGGGAAATCCTGGGAAAACTATTCCCGGGTCAGAGCAGCAGTCAGCAGAACTGTTAGGTTGAAATAGTCACAGGTAAAATTAGGTGGGATTCCAATTTAATTTCATCAACTCTCGTTAAAAAAAAAATTTTTTTTCTTTTTAATTCCTCCAAAGATGACAGACGGATTCTCGCAATTTGGAAATAAAAACTTGAGGGACGAGTTGAAAAGCCACATCTCTGGTCCTTGTACACGCATTCAGAGCAATTTCATCCAGAAACTACCCTTCCTGGGCAAACCGCCCTCAGGTGTTGTCCTCCACTGCAGAAAGCCCCAACAAGTTGCTGCTCTACTCGGCGTTGACCAAGAAGCCATGAAATCCTTTTCTGGGGGAGACGTAGAAGATTGCCTCCTCAATAAGGTAAGAGCAGATGCTATTCTCTCCCATGCACTAGCTCCTCACCCTCCATCTCCACCCCCTACTAAGACTGAACCAGAGACAATTTCAGGCTGCTTCCAGAGGTATATAAAATATTCCTCAGACACCAAGGACATTGCTGGGGAAGGCCCCAATGGCCCACACCTGTAATCCCAGTGGCTCAGGATGCTGAGGCACAAGAATCATGAGTTCAAAACCAGCCTCAGCAAAAGCAAGGCGCTAAGCAACTCAGTGAGACCCTATCTCTAAATAAAATGCAAAATAGGGTTGAGGGTGTAGCTCAGTGGTCAAGTGCCCCTGAGTTCAATCCCTGACACCAAAGAAAGAAAAAAAGAAAAAGAAAAAAGAAAGATAGAAACAAAGAACCTTCCCCCCGAAAGCATATTTAGGAACTTGTCATATTTCTGTTCCATCTCTAAAAGTTCTAGCACCCAGGAGTGTGTTGGGTATAAAATAGAGAAGAGAACTACAGCTCTGTCATTGATACTTTTGAAGGTCATGAAGCAAGTCACTTTATCTGCTTGAGCCTCAGCTTTTTTCGCCATAAAATGGGAGTGATGATATTTAGACTTTCATAGGGTCACTGAAAAAGAGCAAATAAAATCAGCATGAAGTTTTTTTAAGAACTCTGAAACTGCTTGTTTTAAAAAATACCATGACATTTTTAGCATATACCAATGAGGGACTAATTTTCTTCTACATAGAGTCATCAACTCTTAAAATATTAGGACTTGAAGGGATCTTAAATATTCCCTCATTTAATCCTTTTACAGATAAAGCTACTAAGGCACAAAGTTAATGTTTCATTAAAATACTTGAATAAAGTGTAAGGACCAATTTTCAGGTTTTGTCCCTTTACAAGTAAACAAAGCCAAAAGCATTAGCACAGTGATAAGTAAGTGTGTTTCTTAGGCAAAACCCTTAAGAGAGATAAATAGGAAAAACTTACAATGATTAAAAATTGGAGTAAAGGGTTTTCCATTTTGCCTCTTTTTGGGGGGCTCTGAATGGAAAAGATGTCAGCTGTTCTCTTCTCAGGGACCCTCTATGTTCTGTAAGAAAAAAAAAAAAAAAACCTCTGAATTTTTTAGCCTGGCATTCAAGTAACTTCTACCCTCTGCTTTCCCAGCATTTCTAAAAGCAGAAATTCTAAATGATCTCTCCCTATGTTGAATCCAGCCTGCGCACATGTTTCGTTTGGCCTGCAGAGCAGTTTTTGAATTTTTCAAAATTTGTATAAACATTTCAAAATAGTGAGATTTTGCCTAGAAATCCAGATTTTTATTTTCTCTGGGAGGAAAAAAAAATCAGGGTACCTAGCAACCACAGGTCCCCATTTCTTACCTGGAAGCCATGGGTGGAAGGTGAGTGTCTGTTAGAACACGTGCTGGCCAGTTCTCAGTGGCTGCATTCCTCCTGGGTTTGACACTGGTCCCCACTTACCCTCTCTCTCTGTCATGGATGACTTTTCTCCATCCCTGTAGGTGGTCAAGTCTCTTGTTTCTGCCCCATAAGAACTGTGCCCAAGCAGGTCTCAGGCCCCAGGTCCTGGGTTCCACTTTCTGGTTCACATGCGCTCTTCAAACTCAGCTTGAGCTGGGAATGTAACTCAGCGATAGAGCGCTTGCCTAGTTTGCAAGAAGCCCTGGGTTTGAGCCCCGGTGCCCACAAGCAGACACAGACATACACACAACAATGATGAACAGTAACTCTTTTCTATCTCTTCTAACAGTAAACTGCTCTATTTTTATTTTAAGTTCAGCTCAGAGTTCACTTTCTCAAAAAGAATTCCCCTGACACCCCAGCCCCAACAATTTTTGCCCTCCTAGGAGCTCCCATGATAATTATGACTGATGCTGCTTATTCATTGTACTTTGACTTCTGACACTTTTCCTATTAATACTTTGGTTGGTGACTTCAATATTGTGTCATTATGCTATTCATAAGTTCCTGGGGCCAAGAACAAGCATCTTCAACATCTTTCTTGGACATTCACAGTTATCTTGCACATGTTTGGTCAGAAATGTCTTCAGGATTCATTATATATAAGGCAAGATCAGAGTAGAAGGTGCTGGTCGATTGAGGCACATGTAGCATCTCATTTACTCTAATCAACAATCATGTGATGTGCATATAACCCTCATTTTTACAGAAGAGGAAACAGTATCATGGAGATGAAATAACCTGTCTCAAGTCCCAAGCTAGAACTGTGAAGGTGCTGAGGCTCCACTCCAGTCCTTTACTACAAAGGCCAAATCTCACCTGCCAGACCCTCTGAATCTCCCCAGACACAGAGTGAGCACCTGCTTTGTGCCAAACCCAGGGCTGTGGTTCAAGGGGAACGCCAGGCCTGAGATGTGGCTGCTCAGAGAGACATTCTCCATCTCTCTCTTAAGGATGGGCGTATCCGGCTTGCAGATTTTGCTCATATCTCCAAAGGAGAAAGGAGGAAGCTGTTTGTGTAGACAGGCAAACCCTTCATCAACACGTGGCAGATGCCAGGGCTGCAGTGGAGAACTTAGCAGGGCACCAGAGAATGGAAGGCTATTCACTCCAACAGGAGAAGTGTATTCAGAGAAAGGGAACAGAAACAAAGGCCTGGAGGGTGGGTGGTGGTGGGGTTAAATAAATGGGGAAGTACAGGAGAGATCTTCTAGGAGAAGGGAACCCCATTCATATATTTGCGGTGGTTTTCACTCTCAGTTACCTTTTCTTTTGGGTGACACAACAGGGCCATGGTTACAGATATGGACTTCAGAATGATACTGCCTGGGTATGAATCCCTGTTCTGTAACTTACTAACTCTGGGCCCCTGGACCAATTTCTTAAGTTTTCTGATCTTCTGTCTCTCATCTTTCCAATGGGAACCACCCTGATATCTACAGTAAAGAATTATTTGGAGGCTCAAATGAGGCTACTCTTTTCAACCACCCTGCGCCCAGGAAGGGTTCGACGATCCCAGTTCTATAGTGCAGCTGCTGTAGAACTCCTGCTACCTTTAGGAATCGTAAAGACCCTGTGTGGCCCAAGCATTCAGCTCTTAGAAGAATTAGTCTGAAAAGATAGGGTTATGGTGTCTCCTCTGTTTCTATCCCTGAATTGGTCTCTATCCCTTGAACAATTAGCTCTTGGAAAACAGAAAAGAGGCCTGGGTTTTTTTTTGGTTGGTTTGGTTTGGTTTTTTTTCATCTCTGAACCAATAATTGGGTTTAAGGCTATTCCAGAACTAAAGGTTTGACTTCCTCTTTACTGGAAGGAAGTTCTCCCCTGTTTTCCCTCCGTGCACTCATCCTGGATGATGCTCACAGAGACCACCTGCCCTGGGTGTGACTAGGTCCTTGGGGTATTCCTGGCATGCTGCTTAGCCTCGGCCTTCCCCTTCCCTCCAGGAAGGGTGTTGCAATGGGAATGAGTCAGAGTGGTGTTATGATAGGGGACAATCTTGAATTCCCAATGATTTATATTTGAAACAGTAAATTGTTCATGAACTTGAGCTATTAATAGCAAATGACTTGTGGGACAACAGTAGGCCAGAGACTGCGGTTGGCGAGGAAGAGGGCAGGCTAGCCCAGGAGGGGATGTGTACATATGTGTAGACACCTAGGCTTGCTTGGAGAGAGGATGGCATCACAGCCGGACTGTGCTGGGGTCAGTGCAGCAGAAGGACTGGCACAGGTGATCTAAGAACATCTTGCATCATGTACCTGATTAGTTTAATACAATTCATTTCTGCCAATGCAGTCTTTTCAAAAGGAAAACACACACCTTTTATTCATTGATTTAATCAGCAGAAGAGGAGAATGAAACTGGAACAGGCTCCTGAGGTCAAGTTTGGATTGGATATGCTTTTTAAGCACCTTTGCTTAAATGATCCTATTTTCTCCATACATTTACTTTAGTTTTATTTTCCCTGAAATAAATTTGGTGATAAGGCTGCCTCAAAACTGCAACTCATGTCTTCAATGCTTCCTGAAGTTTGAGAGGCCATGAAGGGAGTGTGGGACCAGGCTTGGAGGGGTCTCCACTTATGGTAGAACATCCTTCTTTTACCAAAATCGTGCTCTGTAAGCTGCCTCGGGTCCCACTCTGCTTTTTCACACCATCAAATGGAATCTTCTTGCTCTCTGGGCAGTGGTCAGGAAAAGTGGACAGAAATAGTCTGGGGGTTCCAGGTTAGGAGTAACAAGAGGTACGTGGGACTGAGCCTGGGAACCCCTAGCACCAAGCACTTCTAGGGTTACTGAGCTCAGTGATCTTGTAGAAGTAAGAACTTTTAGCCCGAGCTGGGCATGGTGGCACACACCTGTAATCTCAGTGACTTGGGAGGCTGAGGCAGGAGGTTTTGAGGACAGCCTCAGCCACTTAGAAAAACCCTTTCTCAAAAAATTGTAAAGAATGTGTTTTCAATAAATATCTAACATTCTCTAATGACAAATTAAAAAAAAGACTTTCAAAATTTAAAAATAAAAATTGTAAAGAAAAAAAAAAAAAGGACTGAAGGTTTAGCTCAGTGGTAGAGTGCCCCTTGGTTCAATCTCCAGCTCAAAAGAAAATAAAAAAGGAAAAAGAGTAGAAACTGTATCAGGAAGTGGGACCAGAGATACATGGAGGAATGGGACTGTTCATCACTTAGTGGGAAAGTGTCTGTCATTCAGCTCTGTGGCTTGTGCTCTGTGGGGACAGACTTGTTGGACTGTGTCTCCATCCCAGCTGTGGTCTATTACCTGACATCGCTGTCCAGCCCCTCTGCATTAGCCTAGTGTCCTTGTGGGGTGACAGTCAGTGACACCTAAACAAATGGAAATTCTGGGCTCATTATTTCATGAATTTCACTCCAAACTGATGACATTTTTTTTGGTTCAGGAATGTAAGAGGATGTGACAGAGACTGGTGGGAAGAGGAGTTGGTGTACCTGGGCATTTGCTCTAGTTCTACTTCTGACAGCCGGTGTAATATTAGGAGAGTCAGCCATTGGTAATATTAGGAGAGTCAGCCATTGGTTGGACCCTTGGTTAAGTGACATCAGATAAGATGATTTCTGAGGTCTTTTGCATTCTAAGATCATGAGTCTAAACTGCATCACAGGTGGTAGAAGAAAACCCAAACCAGAATTTGTGGTTTTAAATTGCAAAGGAAAAAAAAAAATCCCTTATTCTGACTTTTACCCTTTGGAAATCAAAACAGATTGTAAGGATGAGCTAATCACGCTGATCATCCTGTATAATGAGTGAGAAATTATAGGTGTCTTTCAGGATGTGTATGATCTTGTCCTGCCCAGTAAAAAAAAAAATTCCAGCATCAAATGAGGGCACAGTTGGTACCAGAGATTTGCAATGAACTTTCTTCCGATAGGTTACTCAGCAAATGTGTTATGTGCACACCTATTTAAGTTTTTATCAAATAAAAATGATTTGATAATGTCAGTATAGTGATGACTCCTTAACTGCTTAATTTATTCACTCAGGAACACATACGAACCGTCACAGTTGTGCTATTTACGTTCAAGTTCTGTAGAATCACGGTAGTTGACTTAGAGGACTGGGAAGCTGACATGAGTCTTCCACACATCCTGAGAAGTTAACAATTAGAAAATACTATTTCCCAGCCCCTTCAATTGTGATGTTCTATCTAGTTAGAATATCTCGTATTATTTTTGTCTTGTGTCACTGATAATTACCTTACATTGTTTATTCCCATTATACCCCAATCAGACTTCTAGTCTCTGAACCCAAATTGACCAACGTGCCTTTACCCATGCCCTATTCAGGCTGGAGAATGTAGCCCCTGCTGAAGCCCTACCTTGCCTTTGTTCCTCCCCGGCTCTTGCCCAATAAACTCCAGTCTTAGCTCTTGAGCTCATACTTGGATGGCTGAGAGGTGCTAGGGAATATCTCGAGCCCATTTGTATCTCACACAGTCATGAACCTGGCCACAGTGAGCCTTCCTGCTGCCTGGCTGTCTTTTACACATGTACCTAAATATCATCTCATTCCTTAGAGACCTATTCCAACAGTCTATCACATGAACGGCAACCCCCCCCCCCACCTCACTTCAACACATCATCTTGTCTCCTAATCTGTAAAGAATATAGACATCAGGCTGGACATTTCTCTGATTTCACCATCCCCTGTGCATTTTCCTGTAACTGCACACTTTCTTCTTTTTTTCCTTCTGATGCACAAAGGTGAATTCCTCATGCAGCTTTCTGGATTTGCATGACTTCTTCCTTCTGGGAAATCCTCAATCGATGGTCTTGCTCAATACTTACCTCTTCCTTCTCTCCTGAGGCTTTTCTCTCAACATTTATTTAAACATGCACGTCATTTTGGAAAACTTGCTGGTGCTCCTTTTGTTTAAATTCAATTCTTTTGCTCCTGTAGTCAAACTTCTCACCTTACATGTTCTTACCTCTTCTCTCATGTCTATTGTGGGTTTCCACAGCAGACAGCATGAACCTCTCCTGGTACAAGATTTCTGTGATTTTAAATTACAGTTCGTTTGTCTTGCTTGGATAGCACATCTGTAAATCTCTTGACATGCAACACGAGCCCAGCAGGAAGTGGGTGTTCAGCAATTATCGCTCAAATGGAGTTGAATCGCAATGTGTAGGGAAAGTCTTCCACCAGATAGCAACCTCCATCAAAATCTTCTGAAAGCATCCGTTTTTAATTTTGACGTAGCCAATAACCTGACTTCCCCAAATCACATTCTCTTTTCCACTTTCACAAGCTGGAAGATGCAGTTTACAAATGTTCAAGGAAACTACCTTTGGTCCATTCTCCATGATGAATATAGTGGGGTGGACCTTAAAGGTACAGAGCTGGGGAGTGACTGCTGGTGGTGAAAGGGTGATGTTAGAAGCTAGTATAATCATGATTGCCATATTCAAGGTCAGTCAAGACACATGGATTATGAAGAGACCATTTCAGGTCTATGATATATTTCCAATGAGATTATAAGCACCATGAGATAATAAGATCAGGGGCCTTGTTTACAAGGTATTAGCATCTGGAAGGGATTAGCTTGTTTTTCAAAGTTAATTCTCTCTGGGCTTATGTGCATATAAAACTGGTCTCACCTGCTGATTAGGTCACCTGTCTCTGTTGTACTCAGTGGCACCTACTCATCTCCATCATGGCACCCCCTCCACTTGTATCCTGTGCTTATGTCTGACTTTCCCCCTATGGTAAGCGTTTAGTTACGACTACCTTAGTCACTGCTGTGACCTGGCACGTAGCAGTGCCTCGCACATAGCAGGTGCTAAATAAACATTTATTGATGAACTGAATTTATATAGCATATACGACATGTGCAAACAGATGTATTCTCCTATTTGTATTCCTTGTGAGTGTGGAATGGCTTCTTGGTCAGTGGGAGGCATACGATTTAGATATCTGAGCTGGGTAGCGACTTAGCTTAGTAAACAGAAATATTTGGGTGATTTTTTTTTTCTGAACATTTTAAACCACTTATGGGTGTCTCAAAACTACTCTAGAATATTTAGAAATAGCCAATATTCCAAATTCAGAAGGTCTATAAAGATTCATAGATGGCTAATGCGTCTCAATATATTAAATCAGTCCCTGGCTAAAGGAGACTCACCAGCCCACAGGTGCCTCCTTGACAAATGAAGAACCTCCCCCAACACACACACGCACACACACACACACACACACACACTCATACACTCACACATACACACACACTCACACACTCACACACTCACACACACACACACACACACCATCAGAAGAAACATGCAAACTCTTTCCACTTCTTCCTTCATGTGGATTTTTAAATATGACTTGACCAAGTCATATTTGACTCTACAACCAGAGCTCCTACCAAGGCTTCCGATTCTGATTTAGTTCTCTAAAATTTCCTTTGTGTTTCCCACAAATGTCTATTTCCCTAAATATTAGTTATCTTGTTGGTGTTCAGTTTTCTGTGAGAATTTTCCAGTTCTTGGTGACTCACTGTGCAGAGTCAGAGGGGCCATAAATGAATGTTCTTCTTAACGGTCTAGTGGCAGAAGGAGGGGGTGCATAGAGACGCGAAGCGAGGCTTCATTCACTGGGTGACTTAAGCAGGAAGCAATCTGCTGTGTGTTTACACACATTAAACTGTTGAATATTTACCAACCTGGAGAAAAGACTTATTATTCCATTCTGGTCTCACCATGGCTCACAGAACCTTTTTTTGTGATGATCTGGTCCCCACAATCTTTTCCAAATTCATCTCCCATCACTTTCCTCTTCCTTTCCCTGGCTCTAATCCCAGTGGCGCCCCCTGCAGGCCCTCCAGCATGACCAAGCTTGCTCCTACTTTAGGGGCCTTGGAATCTGCTTTCTCAAGTTGCCTTCATGACCCACTCAAATGTCACCTCTTCAAGGAAGCCTTCCCTAGCCACCCTATCTAAATTAGCAGCCCCTTTACTTGCTAATCGTATACCCTAATTTATTTTTTCTTTGTAACACTTATACCTGGTGTATAACACACATGCACATGCATACAACACACACACACACACACACACACACACACACATTCAAACATACCCTGTATGTGTTTTCAACTAAAGCGCAAGTATCTCTATGCTCTTTGCTTTTGTCTTTATCACATTGTGTCCCTAGCAAGCCCCTGGGCGCCTGCCGCATAGTAGGTTCTGGAATAGATATTGCATGAATGTGCCTATTTCAGAAGAAAACATAGAGGCACTGGCAAGGAAGTCCTAATAGACCTAAGTTCATCTCCCCAGCAGTCTTGGCAAGGCAGAATTTTTGCCCTGAACATCGCAGGTCACACACCACTGGGCCCTTGTCTCAACACTTTCTGATGCCAGCACCTTGGGTCCCACACAAGAAATAACCTCCTTGCCAATGCCTTCCCACCAGGTGGACTTGAGACGCCAGCAGGTTTCCCAGGCTGTGGAGGAGGTGCAGAGAGTCATCCATTGTCTGACCACAGAAATCAGCCACCAGGACATCCGATTCCAAGCTGTGCCTTACTCTGACATATACAATGGGAACATTAAGGTAAGCAATGCCACTGGTCTCTAAGGGCCACTAACAGACCAGAGCTCTTGGGGGTGGAACTCTCTATGCAGCAGGTGCTCATCCCACTGAGAGCACCAGTAATACTTCATGTCTCCCGGGTACTCTTAGTACTTACTGTCTACAACCACCTTCCATGGGTGTTATCTCGTTGGAGTCCCACGTTCCTGGACAATCCAAACCGGGCTTGGAGAAGCCAGATGACTTGACCAAGTCATATTTGGCTCTAAAACCAGAGCTCCTACCAAGGCTTCTGATTCCAAAGCTTGCTCCACTGGATGATGAAAGCTCATTAGGCACACATTCTTAGTGAAGCACCCACTTCATAGATGGGGGACTGGGTTGAGGGAACTGAGGGCATCGATAGGAAAATAATCGAAAATGATCGTCTCTGGGTTGCAGGTGGAGGAAGGAAGAGGGTAGAAAAGGGACTGCAGGAGTGGACTCAGAGTCCCTCTGTCTGCTAAGGAATCCCACGGAGTATAAGCCACCAGGACCCATGCATGACAACCAGCGTTTGGGCAACACTGTCCTGTGGGCAGAGCTGTTGGACAGCAATGATCTCACTGCAGCCTGTTAGCCTGTGGGAAAGACAGTGTGGTTATTCCCTTTTAAAACATGAGAGAAGTGAGGTTCCGCATCATTCTGAATCCTCGTGTTTCTGATGCCACTTAAGAGCCTCTTTCATCTTATACTTAATGGGGATGAACTCACATCCTGTTTCTCATACCAGCCCGCAGGCTCCTTGGTGGAGGGGATCCTATTTACCGGTGGCTTCCTTCCTGCAGCCAGCCTGGTGTGTGTGGCACAGGGTAGACACTCAACCTACGTTGAATGAATGAGGGCATCAGTGATAGGATGTCTACCTGAACAACACACCCCTGCTGACCTAATCTAGCTCAAGGTCGAGGGACACAAAGACCACCCACAAGACTCTGGGACTTGTCGATTTTGAGACAGAGTCAGATCTTAGGAAATTTATTCCAGGATGAAAATTGTAAAACTAGATTAGATTCCTGGCCTCTCAGAACCCACCGGCCCACCTTGACCTCCCCAGGCCAACCTAAGTTGGACAAATCCAGACCAGTGAGTAGGATTCGATAGATATACTGCATCACTTTTCCTAGAACTACGCGGAGAAAGTTTCCTTCTGTGCTCCCGTTAAGAATTCATAGCTCAAAATATACCTTGGGTGTATATGCTTTGTGTCTTGCGTATTAAATTTTGAAAGTAGTTACATGTAGCATATAAAATTGCTTTCAGTTTATCACGGACTGAATTCGACAGTATTGATATGCACCATTTTTGAGACCAGCAGCATGGTAGTTGTGTTCTTGAATTGACATGCAGGTGCATTAGAACAACATTTTAATTCCATGGGTTAGATTTTTTGTCTAGCCCCCATTCTATGGATACCATAAGTCATGTGCACCCATCATCCAAAACTTCAATCCGTTGTTCTCTGAGAGTGAGGCAGAATCGGTTGCAGCTGATTTTTGCTGTTCCCTCCTGAAGAGGCCAGGCCCTGGGCAAGAGTTCACCACATTCTATTGTCAGAACTTTCCATGAAGAGGAGGTAGCCGACCTACAGGGAAGGTGTGGTGTGGAGTGGGCTGCCGAGCAATATGACCAAAGTTCAAGTTGCCTTTGGCAGTTCTGCACTCTTGACTAGCTTATTCTATCCTTTGGACTATTGGCCAATTTTCTTGCTGACCACTGCTGAGCTGGTTTCTGGAGAATAGCAGTGGGTGGAACCTGATTGCTTGCTTTTCCCCATTAAACTTAGAATCATCTCAATAGCTCACATTGTCTACACAAATAGTCTTTCATTTCACCTTTGATTTGGTAAGGGTTACTCATTAATACTGGGCATGGATCCTCAGTACAGGCAACAAGAAAGGGTTCCATTTTGCAAAATCCTGCCACCTCCTTTTCCATCCCTTCCCACCCTGTATTCATTATTCATATCAGACCTTTCACCCATTCCAGATCATTCATTCATTATTTTTTGTCTGTTTTTTTTTCTTCTGTTGTTATTATTGTTGTTTTGGTACTGGGGATTGAACCCAGGGTTACTTTACCATGAGCTACATCCCCAGCCCTTTAAAATTTTTGAGACCGGGTCTCGTTAAGTTGCTGAAGCCCTTACTAATTTGCTGAATCTGGCCTCAGATTTGTAATCCTCTTGCCTCAGCCTCCAGAATCTCTGGGATTACAGGTACATGCCACTGCACCTGGCCACGTCATTCATTCTTGAATGAAAACTAGCCCAGGGTAAGAAAATGATCATTGAGTGAGCTCTGGAAAGCTCTAAACTTAGCCGGGCATGGTGGCACATGCCAGTAATGCTATTACCCAGAAGGTTGAGACAGCAGGATTGTAAATTGGAGGAGAGCCTGGTCAATCTACCAAAACTGTCTCAAAATAAAAAATTAAAAGGGTTGGGAATGTAGCTCAATAGAAGGGCACTTGCCTAGCATGCACGAAGCTCTGGGTTTAATCCCCAGTACTGAAAATAAAAGACCTAAACTCAAACTCTGGCTCTTCCTGCTTCCTGGCTGTGTGTCTCTAGGGAGATTTCTAAGCCCCTCTGAATCTTAGGTCCCTCATCTGGGAAATGGCAGCCAAGTCCACCTCAGTGAGTGTCTGAAAAGATCAAAGGGCCGAATGTATGAGAATTGCTGTGGTTCACATGTGTGCAACTCAGGGAATACTAGTTTCTTCCTCTCCTTTTCCTTCTCCTATATTTAGGTCCCCTCCAGAGTTCTAGGGGTTTTCACTTGTGGATTCATGTGCAGTGAGTTAACTGATGAGCCGCAGCCTCACAGTGGCTTCGTGGGAAAACACAGACGTAAGCCCCTCGCATTGCCCGGGCCTGGTTTTCTGCCCGCCTGGTCTCGTGGCCGTGGGCTGAGTGGCTGACTGAGCTGCCTGGCTTGGCGGGTCAGCTCTCCAAGGACTTGTTACCTCCTCCGCCTGTGAACTCACCCTCGTCTTCTCAACTTTCCTGACCCCAGGTTTTGGCCCCCAGCCAGTTCCTGGTCACAGTCCCAGTGAAAGGTCTGGCCGGGTACCGGGAGGCCAGGGAGCGGCGCTGGCGGTACTACACCCTTCAGGGCACCCGGATCCCCTGTCCCCTGAGGGACCCCGAGGGCCTGCAGCAGTGGCTGGAGGTGGAGCAGTTCATGAAGAGCCTGTGGCAGTGGCATGAGGCAGACGTGAACATCGAGGGGGACATTGTGCCCGCCAAGGTCCTCCTGGTGTTCCGGAAGCTGGTGGAAAACGCGATTAGGACCTGTCACCTCTCAGGTGAGCGGATCTGGGAAAAGGTCCCAGGGAAATGGTGGCTTTCTCCCTTTATCTCTAAAAGCCTCCGCTCGGGTGATACCTGAGATGGTAATCGTGAGTTCTTTACACCAGTGGAGTCTCCAGAGCATGGAGGAGCTCTTTTTTTTTTGGTTGTGACACACAGAAGAGTGGAATTTGTACAGACAGACACTCCGTGGGTTTCAGCAGATTACCTGTCCTGGCATCCTTGGACCAAAGCACAGAATCTTGAAGCCATCAGAACGGATTCAGTCTGACAGCTCCAATACCTTAAGCTGTTGTATGATGTGGCCCATGTAGATGGATGTACACACGCGTGCACACAGACACTGTTTTTAAAAATTTTTTAAATTTGTTCTTTTTAGACCTAACAGTAGAATGTATTTTGATAGATTGCACATACATGGAGTGTCACTTATTCTGATTAGGATCCCATTCTTGTGGTTGTGCATGACGTGGCGTTTCGCTGGTCATGCATTCGCATGTGAACATGCCCGACTCATTCTACTGTCTTTCCTTTCCAATCCACCTTCCCTTCCCTTCGTTGCCCTTTGTCTAATCCATTGAACTTCTACATATCAGAGAGAACATTCTGCCTTTGGTTTTTGGAGGATTGGCTTATTTCACTCAGCATGATAGTCTCCAGTTCTGTCATTTACCAGCAAGGGCCATACTTTCATTCTTCTTTATGGCTGAGTAATTTTCCATTGAAACACACTCTTTGTTCATGCAAAGCACAAGGGTGAATTTCAAGCTAGAAAAAGGATTTGCTAATCTCCTTAATTATGAGTCTTTGTAAACCAATAAGAAAAAAAAAAGCTGTCTGATTGAAATAAAAGCCCAAAGAATAAGTAAATGACAAAAAAAAAAAAGAAAAAGAATATAAACAGTCTACAAATGAATGGTAAAAACAAGAAAAAAAAATTGTTCCATTTAATGTGTATTTCAAGAAATGTGCCTTCAAATCCGGAACAGATTGACAGAGATGAGAAGTGGGGACCTGCTCAGCATTGGGTGGGCATGGTCAACGGGGCATATTCATAGATTAAAGTTGGAAGTGCCTTGGTGCTTTCTTTTTAAAAGGCAATTTGTCCATTTTTTTAATTTTTATTTTTTAACAAGTTTATTTTATATTGGCAAATGAATACAGCCTATTAAATTTTCATGAATATTTTTACATAAAAGCATTGTATGCCACCTCCCAAATCTTTTTTTTAAAATTTCAACATATTCACAAATGCATATAATTAGCTCCATTTCAATCCCCAGTAGTACCCCACTTCCCTCTCCTCCTCTGTCCCACTGATGCCCCTTCCTCTACTGTATGGTCTTCCTTCTGTTCATTTATTTTTTAATTGATCCATTATAGTTACACATAAAAGTGGAAGTCGTGGGGATAGAGTGCACATGGCATAGTTTGGTCAGTTTCATCGACCTTCCTCCCCTTTTCTCTTTCTCCCTCCCCCTCAGTCCCCTTCCTCTACTGTTCTCCCTTCTATTTTCATGATCCCCCCTCCATTTTTAATTTCCCAATTGTTTCTGGTCTCCACATATGGGAGAAAACATTCAACCCCTGCCTTTCTGAGTCTGGCTTATTTCACTTAGTATGATGGCCACCAGACTCAGAAACTCAAGGGTCAAATGTTTCCATTAAATAATAATAATAATAATGAACCTAATTGGCAATTCAGCAGTTCTAGTTCTAGAAATATGTTTCTCCAAATACAGGAAGAAATAGGCACAAAGATATTCCCTACCAGAGGCTTTATAATAATAGCTAGAAATATGACTAACAAAGGAGAATTGGCCAAGTACATTCTGCTACCTCTGCCTCATGGACCTCCATGCAGCCTTTTGAGGAATGAGACCCACACAGGCAGATAGTATAAAAAATGCAGGTGTGCAGGGTGAAGAAATGAAGAACCACACTGCTGAGCCCTGTGAAGTTCCATTTGTCTAGACAGAAAAGGATACATTTGCAGGTAAGGTTTACTTATCTAAACAGAATTGCTCTGAATATTTCCCCAGCTTATGTCTCAATGATTTTTACTATATAGAAGATGCTTTCATGGATTATTTAATCCCCTTAACAACCCTTGAGAGTAAAAATTCTCTTTCGTACCTATTCTACAGATGAGAAAACGGAGACTTGAGAGATTAAGTAGCTAGCTGAAGGCCACATACCAAGTAAGCTGGAAGCAGGGTGTGGGCCTGGCAGACTGCCTCCATGTTGGCTCACCTTTTATACTTCACCACATTGTGACTAGTGTAAGTGCCAATTAGAGAGTCAGGCTGGACCAGGTTATCGGAAGTGCTTTCAGCTACTGATGCCCAAGTGCCAGACATCATCTTGTTCCTGTCTGGGAAGCTCTGATGAGAGGGTTTTCCTTCTGAGCAGCCTAGCATGGTTAATAAGCTTCCATTTTCTTCTCTGAGCAGGGGAAAAAAACCCAACAAAATAATAGACCCTCATTCAAGACATTCATCTGTCGTGAAGGCAAAAACAAACAAACAAAAAAAACTACAATGTTTTGAAAGAAGCAGGAGAAAACTAGAAATGAGCCTAGTATGTGAGCTACAGAACTTTATCAGCCACTTCTTTTTTATTTATTTTTTCCTTTTTTCTCTGCCTGACCGGGAAACAGGCAGTGGGGGTGTCTCCCCACTCACCTGCCCTCTTGAAACAGTGGCCGTGACATGCTTTGAAGGGTTTTATGATTACAGGGGCTGATGAGGATAAATACATCCATCTGTTTGGCAGACGGATGGTGGAAACAAACACCATCTAAGAGATTTTGACTCTGATAAAGACAGGTTAGCAGAATTCCACCAAAGGCATATGAATAAGTAAGGGGACTGAGGCTGTCCTTGAACAATGTCAGAGTATCTGGGTGAAGGATGAAAAGAAAAAAAAAATAACGGCACTGTCTTTCCTTATGTTTGGATTAATCTGAAACTGATACCTCAGTGCTTGGATAGAAAGGAGAAGAATAGGGGGGGAAATGGTTGGATTTCATTTGACAGCAGCAAGTATTTTCATTTTATTCTAAGATTTTCTTTCAGTTGAACCTTCTGAAAAGAATCCATTAAACAAAAAGATGCTGGGCTGAGGGTGTAACTCAAGTGTTTAGCAGGTGCAAGGTTCAATCGCCAACATCACACACACACACACACACACACACACACACACACACGTGCACGCACACAGATGTGCTAAAGTAAATTAAGAATTTGGTGTCAACATACCTTATATACAGAGAGATGATAAATTGTGGCATAAAGGTGTATTAAGAATCGTAATGCAAAAAAAAAAAAAAGAGAGCTCATGTATAATGGCATAATTTGGCATGAACATACTTTATATACAGAGTTGTGAAAAATTGTGCTGTGAATGGATAATTATGATTGTAATGCATTCTACTATTGTCATGTATGTAAGAAATAAAAAATGAATTTAAAAAAAGAATTAAAGATAGCATAAAAGCTTTGGGGCAAGGGAAAGAAAAAAAAAAGGAAAAAAAACCCACCAGCAATGAGATTTCCTAGTAATACTCTAACAATGGTATCTGACTGGTTTGACATAAGTCCCTCCACCCCCACCCCCAAAAATGCGCCCCTCAGGTAGCAAGGGGCTGTTTGGAGCAGCTGCTCACAGACTCCGTCTCTCAGTGCTTGTATTGAGCAGGCCTTTCCCTCTCTCATTCTCTGGTCATTGCCCACCAGGTAAGGTCAGCCTGCTGGCAAACTGCGAGGCCGTTTGGGTTGCCGTGGAAACAGCTGCCTGTCAGGTGGAAATAGAGCTGGTCCCCACCGTGGAGGTCCCCACCGCCTGGTCTGAGAAAGCACAGTGGCCTCGGTGCCTGAAGCGCTGGCCTTCCCCAGAGAAAGTGGAATGCCTCAAGGTACCAGGGACCTGGACGCCATCAGCTTACCCCTTGCAGTATGGCTAACGGGCTCCCCAAGGAAAGTTGGGGGTTTGCTAGATCTGCTTCTCGAAATGTCGGTCCCAGCCCAGAGCAGCCTCACCCCAGAACTTGTTAGAGACACAGAGCCCCAGGCCCCACGAGGCTCTGCGACCCTCCAGGGGTCTCTGATGCACAGTGAAGCCGGACAACAGACAAAGCAGACGGAGCCTCCTCGGGCTCCCTGTCCACAGCCAGTGTGGTCTGTGTCGTCCCCTCGCTGCCCTCTTGTCCCCGTGTAGGACGCGCTGTTGCCCCGTAACACGTCCCCAGGGTGCCTCCTCCTCACCTTGCCCATCTCCCCTCTGTTGCAGTCCTTTGGGTTCAACCTGCTGGCCCACGCCGGCTATCACTGGCAGCTCAGCTTCTCCCAGGCCGAGCAGATGCTCCTGGAGCAGCTGGACGAGGACGGGGGCTGCCGCAGACAGTGCTTTCAGGTCATGAGGCAGCTGAAGGAGGACGTCTGGTGTCCTGGGAAGAGGCCTGTCCTCACCTCCCACCATCTGCAGGTGAGCCTGGGGTGGCGGTGCAGTGGCCGCTGGGCAGCTCTGGTTAGGTAGGACCCTGTGTGTACAGCTTGGCAGGGCCACTCAGAGAGGGTGGTGCGTGGGATCAATTTAGGATGAGGCCGTAGTGGCCACAGTGGCCACTCCGCTGATGATCACTCATTATGGAAATTCAATACACTTGGGCTCTCTGCATGTCCCTGCCTGGAGTCAAACACCCTCTGTCCCCTGGCCTTTTATGAGTCCCTTTTCTTTCCTCTTTTGTTTTCTCTCCCTCTCCCTCGCTCCCCTTCTTTTCTCAGTATATCATGGATAATTGATTTTTACATTGACACATACTATTTGTGCATATTTATCAGATATCATATCATGCGATCCATGTCTACAATGCATAATGATCAAACTAGGGTAATTAGCATTTTCTTCTCCTCATGCATCTATCACTTCTATGTGTTGGGAACCTTTGAACTCTTCTAGTTATTTTGGAAAATACAGTAAATCATTGTAACGTACAGTCACCCTAAAACAGAACGTCTGCTTCCTATCCTACGGCGTTTTGGAATTATTTCCCACCTCCCTCTCTCCTTCTTCCTAAGCTCTAGTGAACACTATTCTACTCTCGACTTCCGTGAAGTCAACTCTTTTAGCATCCACGTGTGAGAACTTACAATATTGGTCTTTCAGCTCCTGGATTATTATTCCACTTAACATAATGTCCTCCAGTTCCATCCAGGTTACTGCAGATGACAGGATTTTTTTTTTATGGGTGAATAATATTCAATTATGTACATAGATACGCCACATTTTCTTTATCCATTTATCTGTTGATGGGCATCTGTTTTAATGCTCTTCATTGCAATAAACACAGGCATGCACATCTCCCTTTGATACACTGATTTCATTTCCTTTGAATACAGACCCAGTAGTGGGATGGCTGGGTTGTGTGGTAGCTCTATTTTAAGTTTTTGGAAGAACTTCCAGACTGTTTTCCATAATAGCTGTACTCATTTACATTTCCACCACCAATGAACAAGTTTTTCTTTCTCTGTATCCTCACCCTGTTTACATTTTGTCTTTTTGAAATCAGCCCTTCTACCTGGGATGAAATGGCATCTCATTGTGGGTATGATTTGCATTTTCTTGATGTCTAGTGACCTGGAGCATCTTTTATATATTTGTTGGCCATTTGTATTTCTTCTTCTTTTTTTTTTTTTTTTTGAGAAATGACTATTTAAATCATTTGCCCACATTTTCAACAGATCATTTGTTCTTTTGGTGTCGAGACCTGTATATATTCTGAATATAAATCCCTGACTGGTGCGTGGTTTGGGAAGGTTTTCCCTCATTCTGCAGTTGTGTCTTCATTCTTTCGACTGCTTTGCTGTGCAGAAGCTTCTTAGTTTGATACAATTCCATTTGCCTGTTTTCACTTTTGTTACCTATGCTTTTGGTCTGATGCAAAAAATCTTTGCCTGTATCAATATCTTGAACTGTTTCCCTTATGTTTTCTTTCATTAGTTCCATACTTTCAGGTATTACATTTAGTTCTTTGATCCATTTTGAGTTGACTTTTGTATATGGTGATAGAAATCTAGTTTCATTCATATAATATTTATATTCATATACATTATATATGTATGTTCATGTACACACACACACACACACACCCTTCAGTTTTCCAAGAATCACTTATTAAAGAAACTGTCCTTTCTCCAATGTTCTTTTTAAAATACTTATTTTATGTCTGATTAACATGTATTGATTGTACACATTCATGAAGTTCAGTGTGCTATTTCCCCTAATGCACATGACATGTACTGATCAAATCCCAGCCTCACCCTTACACCCTTCCCACCTTCTAGTGATCACCATTTCATATTCCCATCAACTTTTTTTTAGCTTCCACATATGAGAGAATATGCAGTACTTGCTTTTCTGTGTCTGACTTATTTCACTTAACATAATGTCCTCCAGTTCCATCCACATTCCTGCAAGGGGCAGGGTTCCATTCTTTATGGCCGAATGACACCCCATTATGGATAGGTACCAGGTTTTCTTTATCCGTTGCTCTGTGATGGATGTCTCACCCAATTCTGTATCTTTCTTGACACCTTTGTCAAAAGGCTAGCAAGGGAGGCTGAGGCCAAACCTCACGGACCAAACCATGATAAAAAAAAATTGTACTTTTAGTTAATTAACAGTGGGAAGAAGTTGAAGCATTTAGACAAGAAGGAACCAAGATTTATATTTCAAAAAGATCACGTGGGGACTGCAGTGTGGGTGGGGTCAGGCTAAACAGTGAAGGCAGTAGGTGCAGACTGGTTACGGTCCTTGCCAGGATCCAGGTGAAATGTTGTGTGGTGTGGAAGAGGGTGTTATCACTGGAGATGATATAAGTGGGCAGAGTTGAAAATTACTTAGGCAGGAGTTTGGGCAGGACTTGGCTGGGCATGGTGGGGAGAGGGATGACTCCTAGGTTTGTGTCTTGCATAACTCACTAAATAAGCAACTCTGGAGGCAGATCAGGCTGTGTGGAAAGGCCACGAGTTCAGTCTGGACACGTTGAGGCTGAGATAACTTTTAGAAATCCAAGAGAAACAGGTAAGGAGATCAGAGGAAACGTCAGAGCCGGAGAAAACGATTTACAGGTCAACCATATTAACGGGGACTAAAGCCTCTGTGGTGGGAGGAACTCAGAGCTGGGGAAGAGAGGTAAAGAGGAGAAGTGGTGCAGGAAGGGAACCCCAGAAACTCCAACATTTAGAAGTGGGTCAAGGATGATATTTCTGCCAAGGAGTAGCTCCAATGCTAGGAGAACACCCAGAGAGTAGATTAGCTTGGAAGCCGAGTGAAGAGGGACTCAAAAGAGGAGGGTGTAGACGGGAATCTAATCACTGAAAGGCAGATAAAGCAAAGTCTGAAAAAGTGTCTGGTTGGATTGAGAAACATGGAGATCCTTGGGCCATCGCAAGAGTGCAACCCTTTTAGGATTAATGGAAGAAGACGCCATATTGGAGGGGATGGGAGGCAGGCAATGAATGAAAGGAGACAAAATGAGGACAAGTGACTGGGAACCTAGATTTGCAGAGAGGCGAGAGTTAGGGCAGAGGGGAAGTCGGGGGTCAGGGAGCAGGAGAGTTGGAACCGGTCGAGAAGCCATGGAGCAAGAGGGAGAGCAATCATACGCAGTTCCAAGATGGCAGGATCTGGGTCCTGTGCAGGGGTCAGCCCTGGCTAGGAGGAGGGGTGGAACAGAAGGGGTAAAGGGAGCTCTTGGGTTTCCCAGGATGAGGGGTTGGTTCCACGTTGCCTTTAAAATAGGAGGCAAAGGCATGGTGGGCGTCGCTGCAGACTTGAGGAGAGTGATGATCACGAGAAATGTCAGAGGAGAGTGAGAGAATAAATCAGCCAAGACAGGGAGAGGACCCACTGGCTGAGACGGAGTGCCCATCTGAGACCGAGGATCATGAATTCAGGGCAGGACCCATTTTCTTCTCTCCCTCCTTCCAAGGCCGCACAGACTCAGTGCTCGTTTCTGAAGATCTTCCGCTCAGGGACCCCCAAAACCACGTCTGACGCTCCCTCTTCCTTCCGCAGACGGTGCTCTTCTGGACTTGCGAGAAGTATCCCCACCTGAAGGACTGGCAGGTGTTGCACAAAGGCCTCCTGCGCCTGGTGAGGAAGCTGCACAAGTGTGTGAGCCAGCACTTCCTGAAGCACTACTTCGTCCCAAAGAGCAACCTCCTCCAGTATGCTAACCCCAGCGAGCTGGACTCCGTAGCCCAGAAACTGGCCTTCTTCCTGAAGAACCCCCAGGTCAGCCTGCCCTGAAGGCCGGCCCTGCCCAGAGACCCTCGCACACTCCATTCTGGCTTGAGCTCCTTGTCCGGGACCCAACCCAGGAGAGAGGCAGAGGAGACCACCTCGGGACTCCAGAGAGGGGACACTGTGTCCTGAGATGTCCGACCCAGGCCTCTCTGGAGCTAAGCAAGCATTTCACCCCAGCTACCTCTCATGGGGACAGCTGTCATCAAGCTTCCCAAGCCACCGATTTCTGAACTGATGACAGTTCCGGTTTATTTTCTCTTACTCCGGCTCTGATCGTCTGACTGGGAGAACCCCTGGAAGGCCAGACAGGAGCTTGCCGCCCAGGAGTGTACTCTAGCCCACTGAACGTGGGCGCATTATCTTTCCATTTGTAAAATGGAGATGTTAATATGCCCTCTTTGGAGAGGGCTTCGAGCCTGTGGCATTGCTGGGACCTTTTCCAACAGAAGGACATTGGAGCAATACAAAGTGCTACTAGCTGGTTTAGGAGCCGGTGTTTGCCTCCCGGATGGGTATCCACACACCGATGGAACGGTCGCACCTAAGCGTTTGCACACCTCTGATGCCCTCAGCCCTCCTACACTGTGGCTGAGTGGCCTCTGCTCTCTGGTGTTCTCCTAAGAACAGCAGGAGTAGTCCTGGTGGCTAGTGGGAGTCCAGGATCCACCCACTGCCAGCTACAGCCATCATGCCAGGATGCAGGAATGGAACTTCCTTCTACTTCTAAAGAATGAGCTCCCTAGCGTGAACTTGCTTGGAGTGACATATTCCTTTGCTCAAATCCCTCGTTCACTTATTCATTCCTTGGTAAATAAATGTTCATTAGGCACTGGGAAAACCAGAGAGAGCAAGATGGACCCACTGAATGGGGTCACACCTAGTGGTGAAGACAAGAAATGAACAGATAAATAAACAGTTACGACAGGTGAAGCCAGGGCTCTAAAGGAAATAAACAGAATGTTGAAACAGAAAGAGGCACAAAGGACGAAAATGAAAACCACAGAAGAAGGAGGAAAGGTGACTAAGGACAGGCTTGAAGGGGCAAGGATGAGTCCAATCCTGTGACCCTGCAAAGCTGATAAGGGATCAGTATTCTAAGGTGTAACATTGACCTCTCCCAAAGCAAGTGGGGTATCAGGATCTGACTTGCCTTTTAAATAATTGCTCAGGTGACTGCATCCAGAAGTCTGGGGCTCAAGAGACTCAGGGGCACTGACAGCTTTCATACCTACCTATTTTAAGGGGCATTGAAGGCCACAAAGCAACACATCCTGCACAGCACAGCTGACCAGGAATTCTAGGATTTCTTGGTAAGCACAATGGTTTCTCTGGCATTTACTTAATGCTTCTCAACTCAAAGCGCTCCTTTATTACTTTTGAACATCCCTCTGCCCGGTAGAAATAACGAAGTGAGATTTCTAAAAGCACAAACTACTGATCTTGTCTTGTTGAAAATTCACCTTTGAAAATGAAAATGGTTAAATTTTCAAAAGTACTGTAACCAAATGGTGGGATTCCCTAGATTATCACACAGGAAATTATGATTTTTAAAATATCAAAACAATTCTTAACAGATATACAAGAAATTTAAGATTTTTTGAAAACATGAAATTACGGACAAACCAGTGCTTTGTTAAAATCCACAAGATTTGCATTCTAATTCTTATATTCTTGGATCTTGAAAAATGTCATCTTTGAAAAAGTGGCAGATGTAATGATTTTTTTTGTTTTGTTTTGTTTTTATGATGCAAACATCTTGATCTAGTTTTTTAAACATTATATTATGCAATCACGGTATGCCAAAAAGTAAAAGTTTACTGTATCATTGATCAAAATGTTGTGGGGTGTGTGTGTGTGTGTGTGTGTGTGTGTGTGTAGAAGGTGGGATTGACATACTTCACAGTCTGATTCTAGTAGCTTTCTCTGCCTCTTTCCCAGTAAGATCTAAGGTTTGTGGTGGAAGTTAGGACTCTCTGCGGATTCCTGAGTGTTCCCACTATCAGCCAGCAGATGGCAGCAGAAAACCACATATGAAAAGAGCCAGGTCCTTGCCCATCCCATTCCCAGAGCCCAGCAGGTGTCACCTACTCAGCCCATCACCTACACCTGACCCCTCCAACCAAGAGACCCAGGAACTGTGGATTCCAGCTCGTGATGAATGGTCGAACTTTTCTGCCGTTTTTAGCAAAAATTCCAGTCTTTCTACCTGTGCAAGGCACTGTGGAGCTTCTGGCTCCTTTCTGTTACCAGGGAAAGATTGCACAGCTTAGAAATGTCTGAGATCATTTCTCCTTTATTCCGGCCAGTTTTTGTTTTTTATTCCTCCAAAAAAAATTTAAAAAGGGCTTTCCATTGTTCTTTCCTTTTCTAGGTGCTGGGGATTGAACCCAGGGCCTTGTGCATGTGAGGCAAGCACTTTTGCCACCTGAGCTATATCCCCAGCCCTATATATTCTTCATAGAGAAAGCAGACCCCCCGCCCTCGCAAGGAAAGCATGTAGAAAATTCCACTGCAAATTCCATGGGCCCAGCTCTCCTTGTGTTCCTTTTATTAAAATGGAGGAAGTGTCACTCCTCAAAGGCCCGTGTCTCTGCATGTATGGTTCTGAGGGCTCCCACTCCCCCGTCTTCCCACTCATTCCCTGCAGTGTCCTCCTGCAACTGCCCCCTGCCTGTCTCCCCCCCACCTCTCTACACAGCTTCCTGATGCGCTTGTGCATCCCCGTGTCATGGTTTAGATAGGAGGTATCACGCAAAACTCATGCGGTGGGGCACAGGGAACGTGCTCCTGGGTATGTATTTTGTCCCTGGTGAGCCAAGCTGACTCTCTCTGCTTCCTGATTGTCATATCCTCAGCTGCTTTCCTGGGTCACACCCTTCTACCCTGATGTTCACCTTGGCCCCAGAGCAATGGAGTTGGCCATCTATGGATCGAGACTTCTGAAATTATGAGTGCCAGATACATTTTTTCTTCTCTAAAATTCTTTGGTCACAGTGGCAAAAAAAAAAAAAAACCACATTATACTTCCTCACCACTTGCACACCTTTTTTCTTGAATTGTGAAAGATATTCATACATGCAAAAGTCGAAGAAGTTTAAATAACAATAATAAAATAAACACCAGTAAGCAAACAAACAAAAATAAGCACTAGTACTTTGGGATGCTTCTGGGTACCTCTTCCTTCCCTCAGCCTCCTTCCTCCCCTCCTGAACATAGGTAATCATAGATGTACCAAATTTTGTGTTAGTCATTCTGTCACTAGTTTTATCACCTCCTATATTTCGTTGAATTTCAAACCCCCAACATTGTGAGACGCACAACGTTGCCTAAAAAAAAAAAAAAAAAAGAAACGTGCTAAATATAATTGCAAGACACCACTGGTTATAAGATGCACGTCTTTTTAGAGAGATTAAAATGTTAGAGTAAAAGGTATGTCTCAGAATCAACCAAATATAACTGCATTTATCCCAAACAAAATGTTTTTAGTTTTACCTGTTTTTGAGATTTAGGTAAATGGAATCAAACTGAACAAAGTCTTCTGTGTTTGCCTCTTAACATAAGAATAATCGAGAATCCTTCTGAGATACTCAGAGTGGGCTGCTTTTCATTGTGATATAATCTTCCCCTGTAGGATTCTGCTATACTGGACATATCTTTGTTGTTGTACTTGAGGTGGATTTTTTTTCTAGTTTTAGCGATTTGCATATTTTTGGTGATTTGCATATTCTATGCATACTTTCCAGGTCCTCAGATGCAGTGTTTTAAGAGTATATATATATATATATATATATATATATATATATATATATATGGACAAGATTTCGGTCCATGGAACATATGCACACTTAAATTTATTGAGTAATACCCAAGTATTTCCCATAGTGATTATACTGGTCTAAATTCTCCATTTTAAAGTAGGTGAATTTTCAGTGACTTTTTCCATTTTAACAAAACCCATTTGATATCTTATTTTAAAAAATCACCTTCTTAAGATCTTGAGGATGTGCTCCAGTACTTTCTCTAGAATTTCATGGTTGTCTGTTTCACCAGTATTAGGAAATGCTCTTTGTTTTTTCTATCCTATTCTGGTATTTTTAATATTTTTAATAATATTTTTTACTTGAAGGTTCATTCTAATACCTAAAACACCGGCTGGGCCCTGTGTTTTCCTAGTCAGAAGATTTTAAACTACTAATTCATTTACTTTTACATGCAAAGGCTATTTGAACTTTTTTTTTCCTACTTGTATATGTGTTAAGTATTACTTTCTTAGAAATTTCTTTACCTGAGTTTTCAAATTTACCAGCATAAAATTTTTCATCATATTTTGTCACCTTGGTGTTGATGCCCCCGATCTTCACTTATAGATCTTCTTACATCTCAGACTTTCAGAGAGGGAGCCCCTCCCTTCTCCCTGGAGTACTGGCTCCAGCATTTCCTGCAGGGAGAGTGGATGCTTTTCATTTGAACCTGCCCTTATCCACTTTCATTCTTGAAACTGAGTTTCTATTTTAGGTTCACAACAATTGTTTTCATCCTACAGATGCTTTTCCCACTCTTTCCAGCTTCCATGGTTGCTATTCACAGATGCTCTATTTGTCTCTTTTTCTCTCTCTCTCTCTGTCTCTCAAGTCTTAGGCTTCTTAGACTTTAGATTTTTTTTTTTTTAGTAATTCTGGGAAATTATCAGCATTTAACTCTAAATAATTGCACTCTCTTATTCTCTATACAGACAGAAGAATAAGTTAGATATGTAGTAGTCTCAAACCATTTTATTTTCTGTATCTTTTAACTTCTGTTTTAGAATTTATACCTTTTTTATCTCTCAGAACTCCATTCTGGATAAATTTGGATATCTGTCTTCCAATTGACCAATTCTCTCTTCACCTGCATCTAATCTAATGTGTAGTGTATCCACTGAATATTATTTCCAGTGTTTTGTTTCTCATTTTCAGGAGGTCGACTCTACTATTTTTTTTTAAACCTGCCTGATTGTGCAAGGTCTCTTGTCCTACCCTTTGTTTTTAAGCTTCTATATTATGTATTTAACATAATAAAGATAATTGCATTTTAATCCATACATGAAAGTTCTAACATCTGAAATATTTGATGGGTTGCTTCTGTTGTCTGTTTTTTTGTTTGTTTTTGATTGTCAATAATAGTGCTTGTTTCTTCTGTGCTTTGTAAATTTTTAATGTGAGCTGTTTATTTTTCCTTTAAGTTTTACCTGTGGGAGTTTCTTTGAGATCTGGGTTGAAGTTGAGGTACATAAAAGGATTCACTTTTAATTTTGTCAGTTAATCAAGAACATTGCCAACCCAAGACCATTTAAATTAAATTCAATGTTTGTAGGTTTTTTTTTCCCAAAGCCAGATTTAAATTATTTGAGACCTTTTTTTTTTTATAACAAACCTTAGGTAATATATATTTTTTCCTTCTACTCAGTGCCAAGATTAAAATGTTTGTTTTTTTTAAAATTTTTTATAATGTGACTAAAAGATTGACAAGAGCAACATAGAGGAGGGAAAGCGTTTGGGGGGACTCAGAGGTCTCAGTCCACAGACAGCTGACTCCATTGCTCTGGACCCAAGGTGAGGCAGCACATCATGGCAGAAGGGTGTGGAGGAGGAGAGCAAGCTCAGGTCCTGACAATTAGGAAGCAGAGAAAGCTCTGCTTACCAGGGACAAAGCATATACCCCAAAGGCACAGCCCTAGTGACCTTCCTTGTCCAGCCACACCCTCCCTGCATACGGTGACCATCTGTTAATATGTTCAAGTGGATTAATGCACTGATTAGATGAAGCCTCTCACAGCCCAATCGTTTCACCTCCAAACTCTCTTGCATTGCCTCACAGGAATTTGGAGGTACACCTCATATCTAAACCATAAGAGTAAGCAAGTCCCTGCCCTCATGACAGGTTTATTCCTTAGTCACTCCCATTCTGAGAGTGTGGCCTTTTGAGCCCCAACTTTATGCAGAAGATTCCTGCTAGATTGCCCTCTTAGGCCAGCCATAGTCTAGTGAGGCTGCCCATGGAAAGCTCCAGAAGGCTTGAGTCAGCAAACCCCTCGGGGGCAAAACTTTGCTGCCCACTCACCTACCAGAGGTCCTGGCTTCCCTTTAGTTTTGGAGTCTGTGTATTCCTTCCTTTCCTTCTACCTAGGGATGTATTGTAGAGGTAGAGACTGAAGCCACAATTCTAGCTCTGTCAGTGGAAAGTCCTAGTAAGTGCCTAATCGACTCTAATGCTGGCTACGCAGTCTGACCTGAGCTGGAAACGTCAACAGTATCTTTGGCTCACCTTTCTA